TAGCAGCTGTTACCTAAGCTAATAAATCTGACCTGAACTCACTAATGCGTTGCACTTATGAACTCTTCTTCTCGTGTTGCATTTACTATATCAGTTTTTCATGTTAGTATTCGTAGGACACTTAGTTGTTTTAATTATCGTTTCATATGCAATTTTAAAACTAATCAAAAACTCGCTTATAACCAAGATTATGAAATTAATAGACATCATTAAGGTAAGCCTAATTATGGAAAATCACGCTGCTCTTCGACCACGAACATTCAAGACACTCGCCGGTCCAGCCGATATTTTGTTTCTGATTTCAAATGCCAATGCAGGAACAAGTTCCATTTATGGACCATCGTTTAATAAAACGGTCCTGACATTTGGAATTAGAGACGTCAAGGACCCTGTGGGAAGGGCTGCAACTAGGAAAGGAATTGTGACTGTCAAAAGTGACGTTGGGGAAACATTTGATTTACGATACACAATCAAACCTTGTCAAGATTTCTGCTGGACGGTGTTGGTGAAGGTGTTCGACTATTCTGCATTGGTTCATAAGCATGTGTTTCTACCTGTGCTTAAAGCCGACATACAGCTTACGGACGTGTCTTCGAATTTCGATGCGAGAAAACTCACGAAAGCTGAGGGTAAGTTTTGAGGCTTAAACACTGTGGTCCTCTTCAGACGTAATTAGCCTCTTTCAGGATGCACTTTCATGGTTCCACGACCAGGGTTTTACGATATGAGTATTACGAAATCCGGTATGAAGCCCTTTCGGAAGCTAATTGAAATCAGATCGTCTTATATGGAAAACATAATGTTTCTCAGGGAAGACAGAAGCAGCGACTCCTTTTCCCTTCGTCGAAAACACAACGGAAAATTCGTGCTGCAACGAACAGAATTTTCTGAAGTAAGCTTGTTTCTAGCTTTTTCTTTACAGTGTTATGTTATGACTAATGTATTGTGTTGATGGGGATCGAGGAGTGTGCCAAAGGTTTACGTTGCTAGTTTATTCTGTTCCTCCTCAATGATTTACGATTTCAATTTTCATTGAACATCCGCAAAGCAGCATCTTATTATTTACCCTTATTTTAGAGATATATGTTATTATGCAACCACCTAAATGACCTTGTCGATCCGCCAATGTGTTGCTTTTATTAAGAGAGTACTGTTACCTCACCAAGACTCGTTGATCGATCTAACTTTTAGACAGACAGTATTATTTCTTAATAATTTACGTCGCTTGTTCTGTTTAAACAAGTTTGCTTTCAGCTTCTGCAAGCGCAACCTTCTATGGTGAGTGTAGAGTTCGAAAAGCCAACTGAGCAGTCAGCCATCATTGCAGTGCGAAACACCGCGCTTCTGCCGATCTATGATGTAAAGTTGAGGTCAGAAAGCTTACACGGCCAAGTCTCACTAGAAATCGAGGTATAATCGATTTGCATGATGTTTTTTACGTCCATGTCTGAAAATTTTCAGAGTAAAGAAATGAAAGTGCTTCCCGGTGGCAGAGCAGCATCTTTTCCCGTCGTCTTTCGTTTCTTGCATCCGGCAGATGGCTTCGACATGCGCTGTGATCTTTATATCGTCACTCTGTCGTATAATGTTTGGGAAAATGGTACACAAATATGGGTAAATCAACCATTCGTCGTGTCCAAGAAAGAATACGACCAACCGAGTATTGTCGTTTGTGAAGGCGAGTAAATTGCTAGCAAAATATGTTAATTTTACATTATATTATATATTATATTATATTTTAA